AGGTCTGTGTTGATGGCGGTTTCCCCCCACCCCAGGTCAAATTTACACCCAGCAGCATGGACACCTCTTAAGAGGACCCCTCTGGGGCTCTGACAAGCCCTTACACCTGTGAAACCCACACCCCAGCCAAGACTCAGAGCCTTTCCGCCCTCCCACCTTCTCCTCCTATGTCCATGCTGATCCCTCATGGGTCTCAGATTAGCTACAGCTTCCTCTAAGCAACCTTTCCAGATACCTCAAACTGGCTTAGAGCCCATCTTCTGGGCAGCTCTTCCGGGCACCACGCTGAGACCTTTCTGTTGGGCAGCACCTAGGAGTGGGATGGTGCTCACAGCACCTGTGCTTACTCATCCACAGGACACACTATCATGGGCGCTGAATGGCCGGGGGAACTAGGACTTGCAATCCTAGGTGCACCAAGAAGAGAGAGACCACGTCTGTCTCCCTCTCTCTAGTGCTCTCTCTTGCTCTCATTTACCAGGGAACCCCCAGAGAATAGCCCTTAGTAGATGCTCAGTGAACAGGCCCTTGGAAAACCAGTCACTGGAGAGGCTGAGCAGAGAAAGAGCCAGCACAGAGAAGAGGAGAGGTGCCCACACTCCCAACTAGGAGGCAGCCAAGGGGCAAGGGGCACTCTGTGGAGAGCTTCACAGCAGTGCCTACAGCCGAGGGACTTCCAAGAAGGCACCAACTGTGAGGGCCCAGCAGAGGTGGGGTCCAGTGGGAGAAGGGTGGAGCCTGAGGGTACTGCAGGGGAGGGCAGACCAGGGCAGGCCACCCAGGGGCCTCACACGGCTCCTTTTTCAGAGCCATGACCAGAGTCCAGTCACGTGTGACCTGAACTTAGCAGAGGAAGAGAGCTGACCTATACGGGGACATATCCTGCTCCCTGAGCCGAGCATGCCGCAGGGAGGGCATCACGGCCACGGTGCCCCCCGCTGACCCAACCTGCCCTCGGCTTCCATGGGTTTCCATGGGGTGAGCGTCTCTCTCTCTGCCCTCACGCCTGTCTAAGGTGCTCAGACACGTCTTTTTCACACACCCTGGACCCTACACGCACCTACATATTGCCATACGCCCCAGCAGAGATGCAAGGCACTTCCCGAGGGAAACTCGGACACTACAGAATTTCTATCCCAACTGCTGTGTTCGGAACGCAAACTCCTTGGGAAATGCCCCTGCAGAGTGCAGAGGGATACTCACGTGTCACCATCTCGATAATAATGAGCTGTGATCCAGCTTCACAGATGGAGAACCCAAGGCTCAGAGAGGTTGGCAGCACACCTGACATCACACAGTGGATAAGAAGTGGATGAAGCGGCTCAGACCAACGTCGTGGAGTTCAAACCCTGCCATTCCCTGGGACGTACCCCAAGCTGGGCTGCACTCTGCAGGCCTCCCTCCAGGATGGAAGTAGGCGGAAGTGCACGGGGGCAGCTCATCTCCTGCTGCCGGCAGGCCTCTCCCCTTGCAGTGCAATCCTCCATCCTACATGGTGACCTTGTGGAGAACACCGTAGATCTCTTTCCTAAGCTTGGTTTCCCCTGGATGTGGTTTGCACACTGCTTTTTCACAGACGCTGGTCTCCTTCTGTGCAGCTTCAAACTGTAACAGCTCTGCACGCAATCCCAGCTACAGCAGCTTGTAAAATCACCTGGCACCACAGGCGGTCCTACAAACACCTCTGCCGATCGAGCTTCCTAAACCCTGCCAGCATCACATCACTCTTCTGCTCAAAGACCTTCAGTGGCTCCCCACTGCCTGTACTCTAGATCTAAGCCCTCCAAAGCCCTCCAGATTCTGGCTTTCCAGACCAGCCCACTTCCCGTCCTGCTGCAGGAACCCCTGCCCACCAAATGCTATCCCTGTTCCTTCCAATGCCCTGCTGGAGTCTTACTCAATAGGTGCTTATCCAATAGCTCACCAGTTCCTTGGTTTTCTTCTTCTGCCTATCAGAGAAGAAACCCTGCCTGCCTGGGCCAACTCTCCTGGCCCTGTCTCACAAATGACTCAACTATAGGTCGCTGTCAGGCACACCCGGATCTTCAGCCCAGGCCATGTGTGACCTGCGCCAGTGACCCAGCCTCTGTTTTTTCATCTGACATGGGGCCCAACATCAGTTCCTTCTCCTACAGTGTTTCAAGTCGTCAGTGAGGTCGGGTGTACGAAGTGCTTACCCTGCACCTGGCAGGGTGGACACTCAATAAATTCACCGCCGCTGCCAGGGTCACCATGGATATCATCGCTAAATCCCACAGGGGATGCCAAAGCGACATGTGTACTCAGGAAGGTGGGCCTTACGGGTCATGGGTGCCACGCCTATGAGACTAGCCAAAACTCCTATCAACTGTGTATTCTGAGCGCCAACTGCATTCAAGCACTGAAACAGGCCCTTTGATAAGCAATTCTATTTAGACAACACTCAGCTTAGAGATGTGGAAAGAGACTCAGAGAGTCCAGGCATCTGCCAAGGTGGACAAGACCCAGACCAGACCGGAGGTGACGGTGGACACGCAGACAAACGCCACTCCTGATGCTGGGCCCCTCTGCTGCCTCAAGCCCTCCGCCTGGAAATCGGGGTGGTCCATGTCCACCTGTCTGGCCCTGCTCAGCAGGGCTGCTTTACCTGGGAGTAGCTGGAACTTGCGCTGGTTCTCTCCCTCCACCATCAGTCCAAGCAGCAGCAGTCACTCAGGACGACCTTCTCACTGGCCCCACCGGGCATGAGACCGTTGATCCTCAGAGGCAGCTCCGCGGCCTGTCCCACGCATCTCTCCACCTGGCATGGGGTGAACTGCAAGCTGCTGGGCTCGATCACACATACCTGGAGGACAGGGACATGGACTGGGCTCAGCCGTCTCCACGGGAGACGCAAGGCCCATTGCTCGGATTTCCTAAGAGCTGCTATGGGCTGGGCACTCAGTACAGGTCTGCAGGAAGCATGTCCTGTGCAGCAGGTTGAGTCAGGGGCAGAGCTGGCAGGGAAGGCCTCTCTGAAGAAGTGGCCTAGGATCTCAGACTTGGGAGCCATGTCAAAAGGCAGCCAGACAGAGGTCACAGATAACCCAGGGTAATGAAGGAGTAGTCTGTGCAAAGGCCCTGAGGCACACATCTGCTCAACACATAGAAGGAATAAAGTGGCTACTGTGGCTGGAATACGGTGAGCAGGAGAGAGTGGAAAGAGATAGGGTCTGAGAGGCAGTAGGCCTGGTCATGCTGGGCGTGTGTCCACAGAGGGATATCGGTGTTCACCGTGGCTAAGCTGGGGACAGCTCAGAAGTTCCCATCACCCTGGCCTGTGTGTGCCAATCAGCAGCCAGGTAACGGGTAGTGGGGAGGTGTTAGAAAACCCAGTGACAGACAGGGTGGGCAGCTTGACCCAGTGTGAGGGGTGTTCTGAATGTTCACTGACTGGATACATGGGTCACCTGGCCATAGGGTGAGGAGAGGGGCCAAGGGCTAACACATCCATCAAGCCAAGCTCGGCATGCCCCAGGCCCTGTTCTGAGAGCCGCCGACTCCCTGGGGCCTTTTTACCCCTCTGCTGGGAAGGCATTCTCACCTAACAAAGGAACTGGCTCAAGAGGTCAGGAGCCAGCCAGGCTGTAATATGCTGGGTGCAAGTGTGAGCCCAGAGGGTCTACCAGGACACCCTCTGCCTCCTGAGGAATAGTCCTCAGGCCTCTGCTGAGCAACTGGGTGCAGGGTGGCACATTTGCTGAGAGGGGAGACACGGGGAAGGGGACAAGCGGACCCCAGCTTATTCCCGTATGGGACCATTATGCCTCATCTCAAGGGCATCTGTTAAGTACTTCTCTTAGACCTGACTTTAGACAGGTGTGTGCATGTGGCTATGGCTCTCGGTCAGAACACGGGATTTGTCGGTCCACCCATGTACCCAATATCCTAAGAGCAGGCTGTGACTGGACACTACGGGGTTCCCCTTTCTGTCCCAGAAGAAAGGAGTTGAGGTCCTGGGGAGCTTGGGTCAGGGAGTGCCGCTGGGACTGGCAGAGGATCAGCTGGGGAGACCAACCCTACCTGCTGTCACTGATAAATAAGATGGCCCACATCAATCAGCATGGAAAGCCAGGTGCAGGGCTGGGCCGGGGGCTCATGCCTATAAGCCCAGCACTTAGGGAGGCCGAGTCAAGAAGATTGCCTGAGCCCAAGGAGTTCAAGACCAGCTTGGGCAACATGGTAAGACCATGTCTCTACAACACATAAAAAAATGAGCCGGGTGAGGTGGCATGTACCTTATAGTTCCAGCTGTTTGGAAGGTGAGGTGGAAGAATTGCCTGAGTCCAGCAGGTTGAGGCTGTGGTGAGCCATGATTGTGCCACTGTACTCCAGCATGGGTGACAGAGTGAAACTCTGACTCAAAAACAACAACAAAAAAAGCTGCAGAGACCAGTGTAGGGAACACTTGCCTTTGTACCTGCATGGGAGTAAGGGGAGAGGAGTCTGGTGGGTCTCGCAGAGCCTACTGGCCCCTTTCACTGTAAATTTACAGCACAACCCTCAGTGACCCTTCTGATTTGATATTTTTAACTTTTGGGACCAGGGAGCTCTCGAGAAGGGCTTTCTGACGCCCTCATGTCTTCTGTGTCCTCTGGTCGCCCCTTCAGAAACCCTGCCTATGGCTTCTAGCTCTTCCAATCCCATCCTGCCTGGTGTGGGATGTCCTGTCCATCTCCCCGATGTGGCCATGAGCTACCAAGGGCAGGGTTAGGGCTCGGCCCCTCAGCCCCTTGACCACCGCCCACACCAAGGACAGGACAGAAGGCTAAGGAATGTTTCTGAATGAAGCCTGAAGGCTAGTTCTTGAGAGGGTGGCTGGACAACACCACCCCGAGCCTCCCCAGGGCTGTCCTGGCCCTGAGGCCTCACCTTCATCTCACCAAAATGGAGCGGGCGCTGCACTTCGTGGGCCTGGATCACACTGAGGCCAGTGTCACTGCCTGTGGTCATCATCCCTTGACGTTGACTGCAGCAACCGTGGAGCTTGATGAAGATCAGCTGAAGTTCCTTCTGCCATGGGCCTACAGAGGAAGACACATCATGGGATCAGCCACTAGTCCTGTGCCCACCGGGGAAGCCAGGGGGCTGGAGACACATGTGTGCACATGCACACACACTCACCTGCTCACACTCCACATGCACGCACACACTCACATATTCACCCTTATTCACCCACTCACGATTCGTACCCACATGTTCACACGCACGCACTGACCCCACACACTCACCCACTGCCATATTGCATTCACACCCACAGGCTCACACCCACAGGCTCACACTCACACACATGCTCACCTATTCGCTGTTCATATCCGTAGGCTGACACGCATACTCATTCACATACATGCTCACACAGACCATTCATACTCACATACACATGCACACTCACATCACCTACTCTCATGCTCACACACCTGTTCATGCTCAGTCACAACCATTCACACTCGCTGTCACACATGCTCACTCACACATGCTTACCCACTCACACATTTAATCGCACACTCAGTCACATGCTCACCCACACTCACATGTTCACACTCACCGACAGTCTCACGCACTCACACAACTACACACAATCACCCAATCACACTCATGCACACACACTCATGCATGCTCACTCACAACACTCCCTCATTCACACCCCCTCGCTCACACGTTACCCTCACACTCATCTACATTCACCCACTCACACACGCATTCACGCTCACCTACTGGCTTACCCTCACACACATGCTCACTCACACCCTCACCCACTCATACCCAAACTATACACACACCCGCTCACACTTTGTCATGTAACTCATACATCCACACTCATATGCACATGCAGACCGATACACACACTCAAACACATACAAACTCGCATGCTCAAAAACACCTATGCCTACTCTCTCTCACACACACTGCATGGAAAAACATGGCATCAGCCGGTGTGTGGCTGGAGGATCCCTCTGCCCTCTCTCTCGCCACACTGTCTTATTTCTGGTCCCCATATTCGGGGCACCTTGTGACTGACATACACAGACGCCTGAGTTCGGGCCCCAGAACTCAGCGGCCCCTCCCAGAGCTCAGGCTCTGTCCTTCCAGGGGGACAACAGGACTGACGGGCCCTGTGCTGACCACAAGGACTCGAGCCCCATCCGAGTTGAGTCCTGCTAGCTAATGCCTTGTGGAACATGAAAGTCAGAGCACTGACACTTGGCGTGTGACAAGGCTGGAAATAATTTTCTTGGGAATTTGGTATTTGCCTCTAAGGGTATACACACATGGTTTTAAAAAACCAGTTTTTACCAACATAATTGTTTAGTGGAATTTCAGTCTATATTCCAGGATTTCTTTACTGTATTTTCTTTGCTGTATTTTCTAGCTGCGAGTCTTTGGAGTCTTCCTGATTTCCCACATTACATTGCTATGATGGAAACCTCAGGAAATACAGAATCATAAAGACTGTGATTTAAAATTTTTTCCAACCACTAGAAAGTAACATGAAAAATAACAGAATGGGCAAAAGCCAGAATCCCATGGAAACACCCAAAGGAATGTACTCAGAAGTGTCTGTACCTTCACTGCATACTGAGAGGTGCTGGTCTTTGGTTGCCATGGAAATGTCAAGATGCTGGGATGGAGGGTTACGGGGATGTGAATGTCCACTTCCTCCTGGTTCCACCCAGGTACCCGTAGCACGTGGACCCCTCCGTCCTACAAGGGGTGAGGTCACCACACATCACTTGTGACAACGAGGT